GGGGGACAACGAGCAGCGACAACAGTAACTGTAGCAATAATAATACTTAATAATAACTAATAATAATAACAACAATAATATCAGTGATTTTAGCAATGGTAGTCAAGCAGGACCATGGCAGGAGGCTCCACCATAATTATTATATTATGCTATGTTATATTATATTGTGTTATGTTATGTTATGTTATGTTATTTTATGTTATATTATATTATGTTTTATTATATTATGCTATTTTATATTCTATTTTGTCATGTTATGTTATGTTATGTTATGTTTTATTATATTATGCTATGTATTGCTGCCAGATTGTTGTGACGCGCTGCTGCCCACTGGTGGACAGAAAGTCAAAATGTTTAACCTTTAACCCTTGTGCCCTCCTCAAATTTATTACCCTCTGGACACCTTCATGGCTAAAAATGCCTCATTGACTTCCATTAAAACCACTTTTTTTAATCTCACTGCCATTACAGTATAAAACCATGCATTCTGTAATGTCAGCATTTCATTTTGAAGAAAAGTAGTGATATTCAACATTTTTACTGTACTCAACCAGATTCAACCATTTTCTCATTGTATGGCAATTATATTATGGAGCCATGTGACTACCAAGGGGCCCCAAGAGGGTTTTGTGTGTGTGTGTGTGTGTCAAATTAAAAAAAAAGGCATAAGGGTTATAGGTGTAAAAAAAAAAAAGAAAAACCTGTCCAACATGAGACTTACAGGATGGTCTGCGTCCAGCTCTGAACCGTACATCAGCACTCGGTGAGAACACTGATCTAACTCAGAGATTTTCATCGGGAACCACGGAACGTCGTCTCCATCTGATTGAACAAAAGACCACAAATAACAACAACTGATGAAGCAGTTTGATAATCAATATGATTATTATTGTATTTATATTTGGAGCTCAGATACATTGGGATCATTCACTCTCAGGTGTTGTTCGTACCTGCCTCAGCAGACCAGACGTGTGCGGGCGTGTTGAAGGAGATGATGTTGACGTGATCTTTGA